AGATTGGCATGCCGGGGTATTGTTGTTTCCAGGCCTTGAATGTATTGATGGCAGTCAGGCCCGTGACGTTCTCAAAGGAGATGTCGACTTTGAGACCCGTCACCTGATCAACATACTTGACCAGCGGCACTTTCGCTGAGTGGATGATTTCAACGTCACCCTCATAAGCTTTGTTCTTGCTTTGCAGAGCTGACCGAAGCTGGAACAAGTGTTTCTTGCTGTTGTACTTGGGTTGGCCATTCATCTTGAAGTACTGGTCAGACACGAAGACGAGATCCATGTCAGCTGTAGGAAGGTAAAGTCCGGAAGGATAAGAGCCAAAAGGATGGACTTCAGCATCCCTGAACCTATTGCGGCAGAACTGCCTGAGGTCCTGGACGAGTTCATTGCGAATGTCCTCTTCAAATTGGCGCGGACGAATGTAGTAATAGAAATCGACAATTTCCTTGTGGAGCCTGATCCAAAATTCGTTAATCAGCCTGGAAATCTGCCATGGTATAACCTCCACTTACCACATCCCCGGGTTGACGCTGCCGGAATGATCCTCCTTATCCTTAAGCCATGGGCAAGGATCCTCTCCTTGAACCTCTTTCCAGTCGCTAGAGATGTGGCCACCCACTGGCGCTTTGGTTGCCTTCTTGAGCCTGGCATGGGGAAGTTTGATCTCATCATTGAAGGTTCGCTTTCGGCTTCCCAAGGCGGCAGGCGCGGGGTCATTGTAGGCGACGAGCTTCTCGCGTGTGCTCTTTGGCGGCGAGCTCGAAGTTATATCTATTACCTCCGGAGTGTCGGTGAGATCGATCACCTGGGTGGCCTTGGCAGAAATTGCCGCCATGGGGTTCGGGGGAAGTCCGGCCCCAAATGTACCTCCCAGGCCAGAACGAAGAATCGGAACGTTGGAACGTGGCCCGGTTGGCGCATTGAAGATACCTTGAGTGGCATTACCATCGCTAGCGCTGGCATTGCTGCCCTCGTCACTGTCATCAAAGTCGCACGAGATGAAGTCCTCAGAAGCGGTGGGAAGAGAAGGTCTCGCATCCTTCGTCTGCACACGCGCCTTCCGGATGAGATGCACGACATCCTTCTTCTTGTTCTGGACTCCAGATTCGGAGGGCGGAAGCACAGTGTACGGGTCTGGATTCGACCACTTGGGGGCCGAGTTGCCTTCTTCAGAGCGGTCGTCCAAGCCCACTCGAGCACGCTTATTGGAAGGTTCAGCAGCGCCGTCTCCCTCATCGCCTGAAATGTCCATCTCGGCCTCATCGCTGTCCGTCAGGTCCTCGAGAGGCCTGTATGTCAATCCGCCATCAGTGTTGTAAAGAGCGGTCTCGAGTCCGGTGTCATGACTGGTGCTCAACAGCTCACGCTCAGCAGCAAGATAGACGCGCTTGGGACGACTAGCAAAGTTCCTATCGTTGCCCCGTCCCCGGCCGCGATTGTCGCCGCGTCTAGGGTTGCGACCGCGATATCCGTTGCTGGGTGGTAGATCTTGAAGACCGGCAGGTCTATCGACTCGAAAACTAAAATCGCTCTGGGGCGGGCGGTAGTTATCGTAACCGGGGGGGCCAGTATCGCGTGTCTGGGGCTCGGAATATCGCGAATCCCGGTCCCGTCCATCATGGTTGTTCCGCGAGTATGACGACGGCCTATAGCTATCGCCATGCGTGACGGGGGCAGAAGGTCGCGGGGGGAGGGAGTTGTTGTACGATGAGGAACCGCCATATTGTGGCGGCGGTGGCGGCGGTGGTGGGGGGACGAAGGCTGATGCTGAACCGCTGAAGCCTCGATCATCACGACGGTCGCGACGGTCGCGACGGGATTCGCGATGCCTGGCAGCGTTGCCCGAGGTCGACGAGTGGCGCGAGAAAGACATCTTGGTGTCGTCTTTCGCGTTATCGACGAGTGTTCAGGAAGTGCGCGAGGCGGGTGACGAAGAACTCGTCCTGACGCGATTTCGGCAGAGTGTAGGAATTTTTCAAGAACGCCGCGGTTGGGCAGGGAGGGCAAGGTTTTAGGGAGGAAGGCGCAAGTCTGCGTCCGGATGCAGACTAGCGAGGCTATATGCCCCACTTTTCAAATCACCCCGGCCCTTCGAGGCAAGCGGGCGGGCGCAGGGCAGGCTCGACACTGACATCATTTTGATCGGCGGTCGATGTTTTGTGCCGCTACCCATAAGCTGAGGGAGGAAAGGGCGCCCTTCGCAATTGCACCTTCACGAAATGCACTTTGAAAATCTGCACCATGATATGAACCCGATCACAGCTTCCCTCCCTACTGCCCGTATGGCTCTTTCTTTATCGAGGCTCTTTCTGTCACCTGCGTCAGCAAGAAGCAAGAAGAGTGCGACCGAAGTTGCATGGTCTCAATTTTTTTCCCGATAGAACAAAACATCAATTTGCGCAAGTACCTGACAAATATCTAAGGCTCTCGTAGGCATTTCCAGTGATTACCTGAGCCTGCACCACATCTATACTATGGAAATTAATTCTTGGTTGAGCTCACCCGTCTTCCAAGCTCCCGTGGTAGAGACAGATGAAGCCAATTGACGGTTACGGTGGATGCGACTTTATGGTGTATTGTCTGTACGGGTACCATTACTACCTGAGCTTGCTTAGGTACTTGTAAGCCGGCTATCTGCATACACAAATCATGACTCTGGCCCCATCCAATGTGTGTCTACACGAAAGTAGTCCATTGTTTGCCCTGTTTCCATTCAGAAAGAGGTCTTGGGATCTCTTCGTCCAGCAAGTACTTTGATACTTATTTGCGCCGTGAATAGCCACAGTCAACCACCACTGTATTCGCAAATCATATATATGTTTCTAGCATATGTCAGACATGCACGGAAGGAGTACGATTCAACCTTTCTAGTTATGGGTCAGTGGGAGAACTTCAACCTCGACCACATGGCCTTTGATATGGCCTCTAAAAGTTGCGAATGTGTCTCGAAGGACGCCCCGCCAAACAGCCAAACCAACAAATGTGGCCAGACTATGATAACAGCTAAGTTAAAGCATGTAGTGGCCCTCAATGACGACGCACATGTACTGGGTGCTAGACTCGAGTAGACTGTTCTCTTGACATGCTGCCAGGCCATGGTCTGGTGGTGTTTATGCAGACTCTACGGTCTGTTCCACAGTGCTTTTTCTGCAGCTTTGGATGTGACCAAAGGTCTTGAACCTCATAAGTTAGTACAGAACTCCTTGAGACATCAAGAGTCAACACCCAAGCCAGCGGCAAACTTCCGTGCCACCCATCCGGCTCCATTCTCCTCGTACTCCTGCTTTGTCACGGCAAGTCGCTCAACATGCTCGTGCTTTGCAAAGTTGGCGGCTCCCATCCAGGTGCTCGTGATGGGATTCTCAGGGCGGCCTACTCGAACAACGCAAGCATCAGGGACCCTCTCCAAAAGCTCCGTCTGCAAGCGCTGGCTGAAGTTCTCGATCAATGTATTCCCACCAACCACCACGATATTAGCGAGCAAGCCCGGCCACAGGCCGATGGGCAGAACGGAAAGGGATTGCATAATCAGGTCCGCAAGGCCAGGCTGATGCATGTCGATATCTGAAGGGCGGAAAAGAAGCTCCGGGACCGCGAAGCGCTCGTTGCGCAGCGTCATGATGTCCTCGGTAACAACAACGCCCTTTCGCGCCCGAGCGGAAACGGCGGGCTCGTGGTCCCGAAGGATGCCGTGAAAGCGGGTATGGGAGTCAGGCAGGACGTAATCTTTCGCAATGCCAGCACCTGTCAGGTAGTCTTCCCTCCGCTCCCCGCGTGTGCCTTTCCATGTCTTTTCGAGGTCGCGGTTGAAGTCCAGCGACACGTAGCACGCAGCTTCCTTCATCTCGTTCACGATATAAGGCTCGTTACGCATATCAAAATGACGGACAGAAAGCAGACGTGCGAGGTAGTTGGTCATTAGCTTGCCACCCACCTGAAGCCTTCGGATAGCGGTGTGGAGAGGGCGGCCCTGCAGGAGCGGTGTGACGGTTGTGTGGGAGTATCCAGAATCTACCAGCAGCATAACTTCGGCGGGAATGTCGATGGTGGTGTCGGGCTCTCTTGGGGTTTGGAATATGGCTTGGATGTCTTGGTACGCGTTGAACGAGGGGCCTAGAGAGTAGGGCGCAATTAGCACGACAGTAAACAAGGGCGCGAAGGAAGCCAGGCAAATCTTACCAATACCGCGGTAGTAGCTCGCGAAGCCAAACTCTTCAAACACCATCTGGTCGCAGTGGGCCTGGAGAGCGGGCAGCGAGTTGGGCTGCTCGGTCAGAACGAGGCGCGTCGCGGAGGGGTCGCATTTCTGAGGTGCCTTGTCGTCGAAGAACTCGCGGTCCCAGATTTCTTTCTGGGCCTCCCAGTTGACGATGAAGCCCTTTTCGACCGGGCGGCGGAAGGCGATCTCCCCAAAATCTCTACATTTTTCGAACTCGGATGCGACATACGTCTTCCTGTGGCGGTCTCGAGCGATGCAGTTGGGGATGAGGCGGGGTGCGTCGGTGCGACTGCCAGTTACGAAGCCCGCCTTGATCGTATTGGCGCCGTTGTCGAGAACAAGGGTTGTTGACGGAGGCGCCGGGCCTGCAGGCTGCGATTGCCGACCGCCTCCTACCATTCTAGCGGACACAAACCTGGTGTTGACGGGGACAAGTGTTGGTGATTTTGTAACCGTTTTGTCGCATTCATGGGCCAAAGCCAACCTCGACCGTTTCTGCCCTTAGCATTGGCGCGCTTTACGTACCAAAGTTACAGGGCCTGTCTTTGAGCCTCCACGACGGCCGGCGACGGTTTGCGTCGGCCCGTCAAAGAGCCCTGGCAAACCTAAACAAGGCAAGCATGCTCCGGCATGTCGGGCAAAGCGACAAGAAAACTAAGGCTCAAAGTTCATTGACACTCACTCGCCTCAGCACAAGATGGGGAAAAAATTAGGTACAAGAAAATAAGACTACAAAAGAGAAAAGAAAAGGAACGCAAAAGAAAAACCCCCCCCAAAACTTTGACTGGAGCGCGATTCGAACGCGCGCCTCTTGCGAGAGTAGAACGCGATTCTCCTTTGGAGAGAATAAGCTTAGTCAGCTTGAGTCTACCACCTTAACCACTCGGTCATCCAGCCAGAGGATTTTTTTGTTATGTCGGCTTGTGGGAAGTTGCGGGTATCATCTGCTACGGTCCTAGCAGTGACATGTAAAACAGGTAATTGCAGCGCGGGGAGTAGATCCACCACTTACCCCACCAGGGTATGGCTCCACTATTTGGCATCCTCTGCCCTGCAACTGACCATGAACCTTCTCCTTTTCTTCTTTTTTCTTCCTCAACTTAGAATCCTACGAATAGTATGATATAATTTGCAGCATTGTCTCTCAGTTCCTACAACTTCGTAGCAGTGCTGGCTTTCCTTAGGGGTTGCGGATCTCTCTGCCAGTGTATCTGTTTGGGACATGAATATTCGATGTAGTTTGCTCCTCAGTGGACTTGCCCCTGTGGATTGGTGGGCGGCAGGCCTAGAGTGTAGTGTTTGCAGACTTTCAATGACACAGCTAACGACCCACAATTATCGAACCCTTCTTTTCTCAAGCCAGAAGTGTTGTTACCCACAGACAGGAAGCTCATGCGAGTGCATGATTATAGTTGGCGTCCGCTAAAACTGTTATTTAAGCAGATCACATCTTGGAGAATTGTTTTCCCTCTTCCTCTCATTTTATTTGCAGTTTGTCTGTGTTTTCTTCTTTCGTTCCCCCCTTTTTCTTTGCCGAGACGGCCATGTATGAACTACAGGCTATTCGAAAGACAGACGATTCAAACTTGACAGGATTTCATCACAATTCCGCCAGCGGATAGCTGTTTCTTAGACTCTGATTGTATCGCAGGGAACGAGAACTAGTTAAGATGCCTGGCAGTGGATCGTGTGACCTGGACGGAACCGAAAATCTGACTTTTTCGCACACTCGTTTTGTGTCAACACCTTCCTCCACGCCAGGCACACAGCGCTCCGGATAGACTACGACGCACAAGACGAATCTAAATATTGCCCTTGCATGAATTGTAAACGGCAGTTTGCCTTGTAAAAGGCTGAGTTGAGTCTCAGGAGTGGGATGGAAAGAAACATCTGCAATAAATTTCTCGCCCGCCTTCAGATTCTACAACCTCCGCACGAGTCCACCAGTGTTACACTAAGCCCCGCGCCGTGTATTTTACCGAGACTTCCGTATCTTTCATCGAGTTTATGTGTTAGGATTTTGATCCGTTCCACCATTAGAGCTCGCTGTATTTCGGTAGTTTACGCTGCGGAGCAGAATGCTGGGTGCTTCAAGGAATGGGCCGTGTGGGGGACACGAGTGCGACGTAAAACTCGGAGAGCGATGGGAATGGGTGGCAGAGCCGCTCGCGACGACAATACCCAAATATCATCGTCTACATAAATCCAAGCAGTCGATATGGGCCTCTACATCAGATACACGCAGTAGTACCCGCCGGCGCCTACGTTCACCGGGAAAGATGTGCCATCGCAGCGAGGGCGTGTGTTTATCGTCACGGGTAGAAATGCAGACATCGGCTTCGAGCTCTGCAAGCTGCTCTATGCGACTAGCGCGACCATCTACATGGCGTCGCGGTCGCAGGTAAAAGCACAACAGCCATCTCAGGCATTGTCACCTCGTCGGCGAACCAAGAAACCGCGACGCTGGGGACTCTCAAGTTCCTCCAACTAGACCTCAACGATCTCCACAGCGTCAAATCCACCGCCGCGGCTTTCGCCCGGCAGGAATCCCGCCTCGACGTACTCTGGAACCAAGCCTGCCTCGGTCCCAAAGCCGTTGAGCCTTGGACCAAGACGGCCCATGGTCTCGACGTGTACATCGGCGCGCACTGCGTCACCGCCCTCCTCTTCGCCGAGCTCCTCCTCCCGCAGCTGCGCAACGCCGTCGCTCTCACCACGGCAATGCCGGGATCCGTGCGGGTAGTCTGGACGGCGAGCCTTGAGTACGGCTGGAGATGGACCGCCTCGACGGCACGGGCAACGGGACGCGCGACTACTCGGTCTCCAAGGCGGGGAACTGGATTCTCGGCATCGAGTTCGCGAGACGGCACGGCGGCGGCTCAGACGGGATCCTGAGCATCGTGCAGAACCCAGGCAACCTGAACACGAGCGTGTTCTCGGGGATCCCGCAGTGGATCAGAGGACCGCTGCAGTGACTCGCGCTTCACGAGCCCGTCCTGGGCGGCTACACGGAGCTGTTTGCTGGGCTGTCGCCTGAGCTGACCTTGGAGGGCCATCAGGGGGCGTATGTCATCCCGTGGGGCAGGGTGCACAATGAAAGCACTCTGCTGAGGGAGGATATTGTTTTTGGCGCGAAGCCGGGGGCGGAGGGCGGGCAGGGGCTGGGTGAGAGGTTCTGGGAGGGTGTGAGGAGCAATGGAAGGATATTGTTTAGTTGTCTTTAATAACATGTTGTATGATTGAGTGTTGTAACAAGTAAGAGGGATGATCGTCTGTATCACGGCTCTGAGGACTAAGAAATCTGTACGGTGGAGAAAACGTGAGCCCCAGTGAGTGATCTGTACGTTCTTCATTTCCTCTGTCGTAATTTTGAACTTGAATAACATGAGGTACCAGAACAATTCTTCGAACTGCAAAGAAGGGACAAGAACCCGCTCCCAATACCACTCTGAGATTGATGTGAGAAGTGGTGTCTCATCTCACTGACCACCCCTAAAGTGGATCCTGAGAATGAGAAAGTTTCGCACCAACCACTCATCTCAATCTCACCACCAGCAGCAAAAAGAATGCCGCACGTTATCTCTCTCCCGCCGGGAATTGAACCCGGGTCCCGAGCGAGGTCTTATCGCTAAGATGACAAGCTCATATACTGACCACTATACTACGGAAGATACATGTTCTTGCAGATGTTTGACATACTGCTGTAGAATTTCAGAGAGAACCAGCTTTGGACGAACCGTGGATTGAACACGGGACCTTCTGTAGGGTCGCAGTTTTAAAGATGCGAAACAGAAATCATACCACTAGACCATTCGCCCTGTGGTTGCTGTGTGCTTTGATGAGATTGCGGTGTGGAACTAGGGCTGAAGGGGGGATGGAGTCGGTAGTGGCACCGGGATGGATACTCGGGCAGATTTGAATACAAACTGTCTCAGTTGGACGCTATCCGAATACTGGCTACTCCCAGTTTCTCCGCCTCGGCGTTCAGTGCGTTAATCTCATCCTGAACAAAAGGGATTCCTTCTTTGAGTCTTTTCTCCTCTGTAAGCTGCTCAATCTCACCCGGAAAGTAGATCCTCTCTACCCCTGGCATCTTGTCCGACTCCACTACCCGCCGATACAGAACATCCATACGCTCCCTGCACTCATCTAGGCTCACAAAAAGGTCTGGCTTGATGGCTATGATAAAGTGACCAACATCTCCGGGCTTCGACATATCATAAGGGCCAGTGACGCCGCCGGCAAAGGCAGATCCTGACAACACCCCTGAGAACACGTCCATCATGATAGCCAATGCCGAGCCCTTGGGCCCGCCCATTGGCAACATCACGCCTTTCAAAGCTTCTTGGGGGTCATCTGTCGGGTTTCCCTCGCCATCGAGTGCCCAGTCCGAAGGAATCTTCTCACCGCGCCGCAGTGCCTTGTAGATCTTGCCGCGAGCTGCTATGGAAGGCGCCATGTCAAGAATGAACGGTTTGGAGTTGTTACCACCGGGTGCACCACAGGCGATGGGCGAAACTCCCAACAGCTTGGACTTGCCCCCGAACACGGGCAGAGCGGGCGACGAGTTGGTGAACACCAGCGAGCACATGCCTGCTTCGACGGCTTGGCGGACTATCCACGCCGACATGCCAAAGTGATTGCTGTGCTTGACGCTGACCATGCCGATGCCAAATGTCTGAGCCATGGAGATGGCAGTGTCCATGGCGAAGTGTGCGGCCAGGAAGCCGAAGCCATTGTGGCCATCTACCTGGTTAACGGTCAGCAAGTTTTGTCAAGATAAAGAGAGTAGACTAGTTTCGCAAGAAAGAACTTTAAGAAGCCAAAGAAGAGTATGATTTTCATTTGTTGGTTCGATGACTTTTCATGCAGGTTGACCCTTTTTCGAGGGTAGTCGAAATCCAGTCTCCTCACCTGTGCAACAACAGGAGTCACCTGACTCAGCGTTGGCTCTGCCTTTGGGTCCAAGACGCCACCGCGAACACGTGCCAGGTAAGAAGGGATGCGGTTGATGCCGTGGCTCTCGACCCCGCGGAGGTCTGCCTGGACTAGGCCCTGAGCGATGATGCCCGCGTTCTTGGCCGAGACTCCAGACGCCTCGAGCATGGCCACGACGAACGACTGGGCATCATCGGGACGTACGAGCACTGTGCTCGTGACTTCAGCCATGTTAGATAAGTGAGAGGAGGCGTGTAGGTCTGCGGCTAAGTACCACCTTCGGACAACCGTGCATTTAAAACCCAACCGTAGCCGTGGATTGGTGTTAGACTTTCGGGATGATTGAGCGGGGAAGTCGGTCACTGTCAGATGCTCGCTCACAGGCATGAACGATACGGACTCGTGAGGAGGGGTCCACTGTCCGGCCTGGGTTGGGTTGCATGCGGGGAATTTTGGAGGGCACCGCACCTGGCACTGGCACAGGGGGTAGACGGAGGGCCAGCCTCTAACAAACAGTAGGGTACAAGCTGGGCAAAAGCTTGTTTTGGCTGCTTCCTCTGCTTGGCAGTCGTTGTTGATGTCATATTATTCGTCTGGCACAAATCCTTTTCACTACATGGGAATACGAATGACTATTTTGGAAGAAAAAAGAGGTCCTAATTGTTGGCTCCCGGACTGTCTCTCTACAGCTGGCCCCACTGGGAATCTCTTGAGACTGGGATAAAGGTAAGTCGGTGTCAACATGGGACCAGCGCACTCAGCGGGAGGTGCATATGGATCTCTCTGGAGGCGGGGGAAGCATATGTACCTTCCAACCTGGGACAGCTTTCACATCTCGCTTGAACGGCCCGATTGCTATGATGTAACAAGTAAAACGAGCGGTGTAATTTTACAGTGTCACCATACACGCACTTCCTGGGTGCCACTTAATGCGATCACCAGGCGCATCTGCATTATGTCGTGTAAGTCTATGTCGGAATCGTTCTCGCCTAATCTTGCAAGCCACGGAGCCCAATATTTTGGAGCGTGTGCATCTGTCTTGGGTCTGTGAGACGGTATATTTCTTGCCCCTTGGGATGTACAGTATAATAATCCGTATCTGCAATGGCCGGCTACGGGGTTCAGCATCAAAGTACCCCCTGCCCATTTGGCAGTTGCGACAGTCGAATTTCTGGGTACCAAGGTACTCAGGTGATCGGAAAATCGTCATGGGTAGGATACAGTGCCGCTTCCTTCACCAATCACAACGGCCACATGCAGTGAGAACCAAGATCATCGCACCAGGATACCGGGACGAAAGAGCAACAGAAGGTCACAATGGCTGGAAGTGAGGGGAGAGCAAGACGCCTCGATATGTCTGCCCTCGTGTTATTCACCCCCCTGCTCGGTCTATTCTCCTCCCCCCAAGTTCCAGCCGACACCTACCAGCATTCAGTTGACACAGTTCTCAACCCTTTCAGTTGGTGTGTAGTACAACAGAGCCCATTTTCCAACCCGAGGACATTAAGTAACATTGCCCGGGAAATAGGTTTCCTGATATCCATCATCACACTGCATCTGAATTCAAATTGCCCGTCCCTCCAGGACACCTCGCACCAAGAATGGCAGGCGGTGTCAAGAAACCCGTCAACATCTTCAAGCTCAAGAATCTGGGTGAGCCTAAAGAGGCCTTCAACTGGAGACTGTGGTTTGCCGTCATCTCGTTTGGCCTGCTTGGCGCCGCTCGCGGCGTTGACGAGGGTCTGATCAGCGGCGCCTTCAACAGCAAGCATTTCCAAAGCACCATCAACTACAAATCATATACTACGGTTGAGCAAGCCAATATCAAGGCCAATGTCTCGGCTATGGTGCAGATCGGCTCCGTGGGGGGCGCTCTCATGTACGTCTCACTTATTATCCCTCCTGTCCATACCAGCCATTGCTGTAGGCTAAGACTCGAATCCAGTGCCTTCCTCATCTGTGACAAGATCGGCCGCATCTGGGCCACCCGCCAGCTCTGCGTTCTGTGGGTCCTCGGCATCGCGATTTTCATGGGCTCCAATGGTAACCTCGGTGCCGTCTACGCTGGGCGGTTCATCGCTGGCCTCGGTGTAGGACAGACCCCCGTAGTCGGACCAGTTTATATCGCCGAGATCGCCCCAGCTAGCATCCGCGGCCTCTGCACGTGCATCTTCACCGGTTTCGTCTACCTTGGCATCGTCGTGGCCTACTTCACCAACTACGGTTGCCAGATCAACCTTGGCGACACGACACCCGCGCGCTGGGAGGTGCCCACGAGCCTGCATCTCATGTTCGCTACCCTCATTTCCATCCTCACTTTCTTCCAGTACGAGTCCCCACGCTATCTTATCAAGAAGGGCAAGCATGCCCGGGCACTGCACGTCATGTCCCGCCTGCGCCATCTCTCGTCTGATCACGAATACGTTCAGCGCGAGATCAATGACATCACCGTCAGTCACCACAAGGAATTGGAAGCCACACGGGGTACCGGATGGCTGGGTGTACTTCGTGAGGCCTTTACCATCCCAAGTAACCTCTACCGCGTGGGCATCACTATCGGCGCACAGATCATGTCGCAGTGGTCAGGCGCTGGCTCCATCACCCTCTACGCACCAGATCTTTTCAGCCTACTCGGAATCACTGGCACCAACGAATCCCTCCTGGTGACCGCCGTGTTCGGCATCGTTAAGCTTGTCGCCGCCGTCATCTGTGCCCTCTTCCTCGTTGATTTCATCGGCCGCAAGCGCTCGCTTCTCCTTGGAATCAGTCTACAAGCTCTCTCCATGGTCTACATTGCGAGCTTCCTCACTGCCGTGCCCCAGCTCGGCACCGAGGACGGTTATGACCTCTCAGCCGCAGAAATCGGCCCGTCTAAGGGTGCCATCGCCATGATTTACGTCTCTGGGTTTGGCTGGGCGCTTGGCTGGAACAGCATGCAGTATCTGCTCACGGCCGAGCTCTTCCCCCTTCGCATCCGCGCGTTCTGCACCTCACTCGCCATGTCGTTCCACTTCGCCAACCAGTACGGCAACTCACGCGCCGTGCCCAACATGCTACTCCCCCGTGCCGATGGCGGGCTCTCGCCCAAGGGCACGTTCTGGTGCTTTGCCGCCGTGACGATAGTGGGCGGGCTGTGGGTGTGGTTTGTCGTGCCCGAGACGGCGGGCAGAAGCCTCGAGAGCATGGACCGTCTTTTCAGCTTGCCGTGGTACAAGATTGGTCGGTACGGGAACAAGGATGCCGCGGCACAGGATGTCGACTTTGATGAAAAGAAGCTGGCGGAGGGAAAGGCAGTCCTGGGTGGCGTTACGGCTGAGCATGTCGAGGAGAAGGTGTTAGGCAAGGCGAGTAATCAGGGGTCCGATACCGAGCTTGTTTGATTTATGAGGAGAGGGATGAGCTTGATCTAGGAGAGAAGTGCGCAAAGAAGCACTCGATAATATGAAAATAACTTACATTGATCCTATATTATATGCCGCTTTCACTCTTCTATAATCTTTGAAAGTTTGAGAGGTGACATGAGTGCAGCCGACAAGAGACATCTTGGTTTTTCTTTTCTTTGATTGTCCGCTTATCTATCAAGCTATTACGCTTATAACGTATCCAAATTTATCGGCCGCGCAGAAAAAGGCACATGCTGTATACTTCATGTTCGGATTTCTGTGAGTAACTCTGATCGTGACAGCCCTGGCAAGCTTCACTGTGCTAACTATCCTCGTACACGTAGATAAGCTGCAGTACTCGTGTCTTGATCAACTAATAGCAGTATTCCTTCCTATGCACGCAAAGCTATCCTTCGAAGGTTAAGGTTATAATCGTAGCCGACAAGGTTCTCTCTTAAAAACACTCCACTACGGTGCTGGCAAAGTACTATGCAAGA